ATGTCTGTTGAATGTTTCTTGCTGGTAGAATCTGATCTTACCAGTATTTTTTTGTAACCTTTCCTTGATGGAATAAAACAAAAATAAATCCTGGTTTTCTGGAGTGATGGATAAATTATGCCTCTTCCTAGCTATGTTTGTTCTTGTCTGAAAAGTGAACCCAAGTTGAAGAAAGAGAAATTAGTTGCTGCTTTGTTAGTGTCAGTTAACATGTTTTAACTAAACTTTTTTGGCAGATGTGCAACAAATGAGCCCTGTACCTTCCCCGAGTGCCACTCTGACCACCTTTCTCTGCCTGACCTTTCGCTCTGCTTTCTGCTTTATCTCCTACTGTGCTGTGGCATGCCACACGTGGAGGATACTTGTGCAATAGGTGGGTCCCTACCCGTGTTTTAGCAGAACAGAACACTTGAATAGCTTTGGCCTCATGCTGGTATCATTGTACTAGCCTGAACATTGGGAGATAGGAGGAAGGGACCTCAAATTCATCCTGCTTATCAGGAGTTTAAAAACTGGTATTTTAAATGTCTCATGATAGCATTATGCAACTTTGGGGTTTATTCCTTGACCATTTTAACTACACAAAGTGAATATGAATGCACTAAGGAGTGATAGTAGTTTAGTAAGACAAGGTTCTTTGGGTGAATCTGATATCTTTTGTTAGACCAACTTAAGTAGTTTAGTAAAGCATTTGATAATGGCTGAAGTGTTTAATCGTTGTCTATACAAGTGGTCCTCCAGTAATGATACCCAAATATTAACTGAAACCATAAATTTGCGGAGAAGGGCATACCTAAAACGCCTTAAGAGCAAGAATGAGGCAGTAGGGCTGTGCGAAACAGCATTGTTCCGCTTCAACTTTCGTTTCAATGGAACAGTGGTTCGTTTCAAGTTCCTTTTCATTTCAGAAGCACTGTTCCATTTTGTTTCATTGAAACTATGGCTGTTCCGACGTTCCACCCATAGCCAGCACCAGGAAGATTGGTGCTGCCGCTGGCCCCAGCCGGCAGCACCAGCCTCCTGTCATCTGGCAGGCAGATCGGGGGCCGCACCCCTGGGAGGGCTGCGGGGACTGTGCCATTGCCCTCCCAACCCCCCTGGCCGGAGGGCGGGAGGCTGGTGCTGCTGGCGGGGGCCACCGGCATCACTGATCTTCCCAGCACAGGCTGCATCCAGCCAACAGAACCAGCCTCCTATCATCTGGTAGGCAGATTGAGGGTTCGCCTGCACCCCTGGGAGGGCTGTGGGACCTGTGCCGGACTGCTCCCTGGGGTGTGGACCCCCAATTTGCCTTCCGGATCACAGGAGGCTGGTGCTGCTGCCTGGGGCCAGCAGCAGGTGGGAGTGGGGCAAATCAGCTCAGGTGGGGGCGGGTCCTCCGCATCCTCCTCTGATTGACTCTGGTGCGGGGTCTGGGGAAAATCACTTCGTGCAGGGACCTGCTGCTACCTCAGGATCAGTGCGGCAGCAGGTCTGCGCACACACTAATTTGCCCCGGGCCCCACACCAGAGCTGATCTGAGAAGGCAGGGAGAGCCAGGGCTGTGCTCCCCATGGGGCTGAGCCACATGGGGCTATGGAGCTGCTTGGAATGCAGCCCTGGCTCTCCCCTGCCTCCCACCACTGGGCTGCTTTGAAATTCGAAACTTTTCAACTGGCCTTGTTTCATTTTGGTTTCACTGTTTCAAGCTCGAAACGAGTCGGAACAGGGTCAAAATGAAACAGCCGGTGAAGCTTTGCACAGCGCTACTAGGCAGTAAAGTCGAAAGCTTATAGTATCCATTAGCAGTAAAAGGACACTTGCTTTCTGGGTTGCATATGTTGAGGTAAGACAGAGCAGGGAAGCAGAAGTCCAGTTAAAATACGCATTTGAGGCTGAGCTCAATATCAGAATATAGGCAAACCAGACAGAATTAGGTCACTGACTCATACAGTACCTCCAGTAACTGGGGAAAAGAGCTGAAAATTGGCAAGGAGGCTGGTAGCATAGTTCAATAACAATTTAACAAGATTGTGAAGCCATCGAGCCATTTTAGTCAGGTAAGTGTTTCTATCTGCAAAACCTCTGCAAGACAAATCTGCATCCTGCTCAGCTGTTTCTGGTCTGTTTGAAGTATTCCTCCTTACTAATATTCAAATAGTTGAATGTATGAATGAGTTACATAGTAAAAGTCAGTCTAATAAAAATGGATATCTCTGTATGCAAAAGGCAAAAAGCCATAGCAAGACCAAGCATTGGTTAAAGCATCTCTCCTCATGATGTAGCCAGTGCTTGGGTCTTTTTCAGCCCTTAGGAAAGCATTACTAGTCACTTCCAGGCACTATTCAAATTTAAAGTTTTCATGCTAGCTCCCTACTAGAATTTTCCTTATAACAGATCAGTTACTTTCTAGCCATGGTTTTCTTGTGCTGGAGTCCAAGTATGTACTCAGAGAGCAGACTCACAGCTCCATATCCCAAGGGATGACTGGGTGCACATGGCTGGATTATAGAGAGAATTGTCACCTTCATGGCTATGGGATGGAGTGGAAGAGCTGATTGTGGTGAGTAGTTTGCCTGTCTGAGCCTTTTTCATCACCCAATTTCCAGGGTAGGGTAAACTGATCCCGTTTGAACCTGCCATCTGAGATGCATAGATATCACCAGGGATAAGGGTTTTCTGTTTCCCATGGAAAAACAGAGAAAATCACAGATTTCCTGCTCTTGCAAAGAGCTCTGCAGATGGCAGAGGTCCAGCCTGCAAGAGCTAATTGCAAAAAGGGTGGGAAACCCCCAACCTTGCCCGGAGGGGGAGGGAGAGGAGGGAAAGGGAGGGCCTGAGGTTCTCAGTCACCCAAGGCTTGGCTCTGGCTCACTTTCCTTCCCAGAGCTTAAGGTAAGCGGGGTTTGCAGGGGGCTGGGGCCCCCTCTGGCAGGGCTGGGGCATTGCAGGTAATGGCTGGGGGGTGCCTGGGGTGGCAGGCATGGGTGACTGCTGTGGGGGGCAGGAGGGCAGGTCATAGGTGTATGGCTGGGGGCTGAGGGAGTGGGGGAAGCTCCACATGCGGTGCCCACTGATGGTGTGTGGACCGGTAATGGCGCACTGTTGGCCCTTCATGGAAGCTGCACAGGGAAGCATGGAGCCCACTCAGGCCAATAGTGTGCTGCTCCCAGTCCATGTGCCATGGCCAGGCAGGCACTCCATATAGGGCTTTCCCCAATGCCCGCCTGCCCAGTAGTGCACGGTCCTGGAGCAGCATGCTATCGGCCCTTCAGGGAAGTTGCACACAGAAGAGCGGAGCCTGCTCAGCCAATATTATGCTGCTCCTGGTCCATGTGGGATCCACATCCCCCATATCTGTGCAGGGAGCAGAGGCAGGGTGGGTGGGCACTGCAGACTTGTGGTCCCCATCCTACTGCCCTCCCCTGGGGCCTCCACAGCTCAGCGTGTGCAGGGCAAGGCAGGAAAGCTGCTTGCTGCTGCAAGCTCCATGCTGCCCTGGCCACACTTCCCCTGTATGCATGGGGGAAGCATGGGTAGCAGCGCAGGGTTGTGCCTGTTGATGCTGCCCCTGCTTGCAGGTGAAGTGTCACCAGGGTATTGCGGAGGCAAGCAGTTTTCTTGTGTGGCCCTGCTGTGGCCTACCACACTGGGTGTCGCACTGTGCTGTGGAGGCCCTGGGGGAGGGCAGCAGGGCAGGGAGCATGAGCCTGCAGTCCAAGTAGGCCCTGCTCTCACCCCCTACACAGATCTGAGGGGGGGTGCAGGTCCCTCTGTCCCCCAGGAGTGGGCACAGCAGCAGGGAGCCAGCCTTGCCCCCACCTGAGCCTGCAGTAGGCAAACAGCCAGCCATGGGGCAGCTGACTCTATGCTCCTTCTGCTGCAGCAACTGCTGCCTTCTGTTGGGGGCAGGGAGCTGCAGACCTGGGTCCCTGGCCCCATAGTTCTGGCAGCTGGGGGCAGGCTTGGGGGGGGGGACAACTGTGTGGGGTCTTTAATTTTAATCATGGATTTGGGGTTTTTTTTTATCAGAGAACACTAGGATCCCTGGATATCACTGAAGAAATCTTGATGAAGACTCTCTTTAGGCTTATGGGAAGACCTTGCTGATTGTGTACCTGGGCAACCACCAGTAGAAAGTATTTCTTGTGGGATGGCCTGTTGATTATGTGAAAACTGGCGTCCTGGAGGTTGAGATGCCAACCCATCCCCATCCTCAGGATAGTAGGGCAGTCTTGATCCTCTGACTGACAAAGAGTAACTTCATGTTTGAGATGAATTGTCCTTTCTAACTCATACCAGATACATTTCCACATCAAGCTCTAGAGCAGGGCTGTTTAACTAGTGGTCTTGGGGCTCCCCTGATTTCTGCTGCATGCTCCCACCCTAGGAGATGGGACAGTATAGCACAGCCTAGTGCCAGGGGAGCTGGCAGCCAGGAACATTTGTGGTGCAGTGCCAGAGAGGGGAGGGGGGAAGGGTGCCATACTATACAGGGAAGTGTACACCTGCCTGCCTGTAAGTGTTGCAGCCCGGGGGGAGCATGTGGCCCCCCCAGCTGTTTTGAAGTTGGACAGCCCTGCTCTAGAGAGTATCAGAGCAACTCTGTTGTGGCCTTTCACAGTTCTTTGCAACAGGAAAATGGTTCTATTTTTCCATAGTCAAAAAGCAAGTGAAAGCCAAGAATCAGTAATTTCTCAGGGGGCCATGTATGTAAAAAGGTTGAGAACCACTAGTCTTCACCAAAAGTGAGTTTTAGACTTCTGTTAATACTATTCCTGCTCTAAAGAGCTCATCATCCCACAAGGGCACACTGACATCTAGGTTAGAGAATAAGGACAATATGCATATTATGCATACAAGTAATTTCACTATAAGCATTCATTTTATGTTAAAGTTCTGCCCTAGTTGAAGTAGCAGTGAGGGCAGGAAGCAAGCAGATGTTTTTCAGCATAAAGGGCATCATGAAGTTAAACATAGTTAACATCCATTTCCTGTTGGCTTTAAAGAAAAGCACTGAATTGCTGTAATAAATGTTAAATTTATTATGCAAGCAAGAGAAACTTCACAAACAGTAAGAGTTACTGTATAGGAGTAAATACAGTATATTGAGAAGAGCTCGGATACTTTATGTATTGTATTGTCTTCACCCTTTTACTATGAAACCTTTAAGTATTTCAAAATATTCTACATGCACAATTTGCTCTTGTATTAAAAAGCCTTACACTTGAGATTGCTGAATATCAATAACTGTTCACTGTTGCAGAGAATGCACCATTAGCTAAGATCAGGAAATAGGATTTCTCCTCCACACAAAGCAAACAAGTTACTGAAAAAAACATAAAAGAACACTGTCAGCTATTTCTGTTCTCTACTGTTTAGAGATGATCTTTCCTTTTTGACAATCTTACGACTGTGAAGGGCTTGAATCTATCTGTGGACTTCAGTTTTACTTTGCAATACCAAAACATCTTTCTACATTTGTACTATTTGAGACTTCTTTAAGGAATTATTTTTTGCCACTTATCATTTAGCTACAGTATTGTTGGATGTACAGGAAGATCTACTGGCGAAACTAAACATCTCAAAATCAGGTCTAGGATGTAGCAGATTAATAGTAAAGCAGGTCAGAATTGGGCACTTTAAATTATTTGTGTTCCTTCAAGCTAAATTTTCCTTTCCCCAACCTGAACTCCAAAAAAGAAAAAAAAAGTATTTCAGACATGCCAGCTGAAATTTGCTGAAGTATAAGCATGTTTAAACTCCATTTTTAACTAACTTCATTTTTACCCCATTTTTCCCTTACCCAAAAGGGTAACAGTATTCTGGTGGTTTAAAAAAAACAAACAAACAAACAAAAAAACTACCTCTAGTGGAATATTTAAAAAATGTATTTCACTTTAACAGTACTGCCACTGGACAAACTACAGAAGACTTACTGGCTTCAAAATGCACTAGCTGTGGTTTTCATAAACACTTCTAAAATTGATATTCTTATGGAGCTCTTAATTATGCAGTATAGCTGCTTCTGCTGATCATTCATGCCAACAATGAAACAATTACAACAATAACTAATGAGCATGAAATCATGCTTTGAGAAAGATTATTGCATATTCCACAGTCCAATTAAAATTGTAGGACTTGACTGGTGAAAAATATAATGTAAACAGAAATAACTGATTTAAGCCACTAGCTTAGCATACTAGTTATACAAGGTTGATCTATGATAATTCAACTCATTTTTCCATCAGGGATAGATTTTACACAGTGTTGCACCTTAGATAGCGGTCAGGAAAGGTTAATCATGACATAGGATTTATATACACTTCTGTTATTTTAAATAACAAAAGGTAAAAACTTTCTTCCATCTAAAAAAAAATGCAAATCTTACACACCAAGTCACTTTGTTAATTCAGTAAGGCAAAACAACATGATTCAGAAAGACAAAAAAAATCCCATAGAAATCATGGTATCTTATCATCAAGAAATCGGGAGCATCTAACTGCATTACTGAACAAAGTTTCCATATGCTGTCAATTATATTTCATAAGTGAAATATATTAGCTTTCAGAAAACTTCCAAAGGTGGTTAAAAAGTAGTTATCCATTACCACAACTAACATTATCTATTTGTTCTAACTCAAACTTATTGCAAATGAGATCAAGCCACATTCCTATAGCATACATGGATGGAACATGTCTTCATATAAAAGTGAATCTGCTTCTATGCCATTCAGCAGACACTACAAAGCACCCTTAACATATGATCCAAGCCCTAGAGCAGGACAACCTCTGATGGGCCTTATTCTTAATGGCCAGGCCTTGCAAAGCAGTGGACCACGCAGACCTGTTTTGACCACTCTGGATTGCTATGCATTTTAAATAGTACCTACATGTGGTAGGACAGCTGTAATGTATTTAATAGAGTAACAATTCTCTGTACAGAAAAAATAGTGTCAAATGTTTCAGAGCAATACCTTAAAAATTGTCATGAGGTAGAATTCTTCAAAAAAGCAGTACTCAGTGCATATTCATAGACAAAGAATAATTTAAAAAAAAGTCAAATACTCTATTATTTCAAGGAATTCAGATAGTAAGACTATCTACAACCAAAAGCTGCAGTGAGTTTCCATGGTACTTTCCTGTATTTGAAATGAATATTGTGTTTACAAGTCCAAATATTTACCAAGAGCCATTCCACATGATTCTATTTTATATAGTTGCCGAACTGACCTATGCAACAAAGCATTTAACAAGCTAAGTAGCAGCATTTCGGGATGTTTGGAGCAGAGCTGGTCCCTGGAAAGAGCTTTTGTGGTCCACAAAATGAAGAGGTGTGGTACCAGTGCCCTACATAATTATTTCTAGGGGTATTTTTTTTTCTAATCAATACGGTGGGAGGGAAGGAGGAGGTGTAAATCCACATGCTTTGACCAACAACTTTTCATTCTGTTTCCAAAAATTAGCTGCATGTACAAGTTTGCATAAACTTTAATCCCACTTGTCAGGCTGTCACACTAAACCCTAACATTTCACTGTAGCCTTGAAAGGAACCCTAATTTAATAGTTTTACAATTCAAACACTGATCTCTGTAGACTTTTGTCTAGGCCTCTTTTATTAAAGCCCTACCCAACTAAAAGCATTGCAAACTTTGCATAAACTTGTGTTCCTTTACAAATAAGCACCCTGCCTCAGGCAGGAGGTTGGACTAGATGACCTTGAGGTCCTTTCCAGCCCTATGTCTCTATGACTTCTATGTGGGATAGCTTGTATTTCTCAGGCAGTCAGGCTAATACACAGCGTATTTAGTATTGTCATTTCCAGTCCTTGACATAACAGATAAGAAAAACCATGTAAGCCATCTCATACACAGTTCAAGAAATCCAATTCTTAGGAAGTTCAGATTTGCAGATTGCTTATTAAACAGTATGAACCATGCATGCAGCAAGGAGTAGAAGGAATGTGGAAGTGATTATTTGCAATAATTAGCTTTTTGAATGAGTCATTTTGCAGGAGCACAGAGTATACAAATTAAGTGGATCTCTCTGTATTCTCTATATAGTTATTCAGTCCTATTTATTTCTAATGGGATTTGGCCATTGTAGTGGTGTTTTTTTGGGGGGCAGGGGGCAGGAGGAAGAAAGAGGGGAGAAAGCATTTTCTGAAACAGTTCAGATTGATTTCTATCCTATCTTCCTGTAAAAATTGTTTAAACAGGTGAAAGTTTGTTCCAACATCTATTCCCTTCCTATTTTAAATTTCAGATGGCAAAACACCCCAACGTTTGGCTTAATTTTTTGAATCTGCTACCAATGCTATTATGAACTTGTGGTCGTAGTTACCACAACAACAACAGAACTCTCGTAGTACCCAAATGGTTGTTTCACTTAAATTTCATGTTGAACCTAAGGAGTATTGTTTCATATCAGTTATCATCTGAAGAGAAGAGGGGATGCTCCCTGTACTTTAAATTAATGGAGCAAAGTATAACTAGAGTAAGTGTCATAGGGCTTCCTCAAAGTGCATACTGCATTGAGAATTTTAAAGAGCCATTTAGTAAGAGAAACAGCAAAGAATTACACAAATAAATTTACAAAGACAAAACTGTAACTGTTTTTCAGATGCTGCATGATCAACTACTTGAAATCAATCCTCAGTGCAGCAGTCATTAACCAGATCACTTCACCCCTGCCCTCCAATAGCAAAGATCCAAAGTTTAGGCTTTTTATTACTGAATATTTTGCCAACAAACCATAAGATTTTCATGATTTTTTTTTTTAGTTCTCCAAATAGGTCTCAGCAGTCCCATAACACAAGTTCCATCCAACCCCTAGAATGAGAGGTTGTCAAGGAAGTTACTGATGTAAAGCATAGAGGAATCCAAGCCCACTGTCAGATTTCCAGCCTTTAGTTCTCTGACCTGCTCAGTATTGTTGCCTCCCATTTCATTTTTCTTCTCTGAATGTGTGGTGCCTTTGGCAGAAGGCTCTCTTACGGAGTCATCCTAAAGTAAGTGTATTTTGTTAAAATTTTCTTTGGCTATTGAAGGCCAAAAGGAGAACCCTGAAGCTTTTTTCCAGCAATATTTCCTACTGCGCTCCAAGAATTTTTTGGCCGAATTAGGATCTTATTCTTAGGTCATGAACATATTACAGGTTTTTCCAGGTGGTGCAAATTAAAGTACCCTCAAGACTGAAATTAGACAAGAAATGTACTTCCTATCAATCCTAATCCTATGCGTTTAAACCAACAAATTTTAAAGAGGTGGGGGGAGGAGGGGATGAAATGGGTAGTATTTCAGCTAAACTTTGAAAAGATCAGGCTGAAAGATCCGTTGTTACCTACAGCAGTCATCTTCCTGTTTTCCTCTTATGTAAAATCCTTCAGCTCTTGTGCTAGTCTCAATCCAGATGTGGGAAATATCGTTATTTAAATGATAGTCTATGCACTGTGTCAAGTCTTGGTGTTTCATTCCTAGTTTCACGCAATGGGCACTCAGAGTTATACATGAAGTTAAGCTCATTCGCTTTCCACCCAGAGAGTAAAGTTATACAAACATCTGCTCACTCTCACTAGTGGCTTTTGAGCAACTGGAGGACATCATCTTTTTGATGCAGATTAGAAGTGGCATTCAAAATTATACCCTTGTGATAAGCTATTGAAGCAACTATACAAGGGTAACTACATTGCAAATAAGTAAAATTCAGCATTCACATGAATATTGCCCCTTGTCACTGAAGAGTCCAATTTGAGCAAATGATCTTTGGACCTATATACTTTGATCTGTTAAATTGACAGTGTAACTTTAAAGACAGCTTTACTAGTACAATTACAGTACCCTCTGTGGGCTATGCTTTGGATAAAAGAGGTGGCTAAGATCTGTGCACATTACAAGAGTATTTTATTATGCACTTCTGTGTGAATTAGTTGGGAATTCACCTAGTTAACAGAATGGGAAATGCAAAAAGTGTTGTTATTTCTTAATTTTCAGAACAAAATGCCAAAAAGGATTTTATTACCATAAAAAGCTTTCCGTACTATGGGTCACAGAGAGCTTGGTGGTTGGGGTACACAACTTGCCACTTTATGCCAGACTTTTCTAAAGGCTATTTTGCAATGCTTACAAGGCAAGATGTTTATGCTTCCAATGCATTACGGCACTCTTTTCCTACTGAATTCACTGAAGAAATGCAGCTTCATCTCCATACTGAAAATTTTCTATCTGATAATAAACACAGTGTATACAAATTAAGGAAAAAAGCCTAAAATTTAACTACAGCAAAGCATTAGAAAAAGTAACAACACTTTTCTAGCCAGTCACCAAGAACCAAATTCATTATATTGGGAATGCAAGTAGGTTTTGGGGGTTTTTTTTCTTCCCCCTTCTCTTCTGTTGCAAAATTAATCTAGTATGTGTAAGAACAGTTCCATTACCTCTTCACTGCAGAGAAAAGTTACAGCAGCAAAAAAGGCTGAATGAGTGGATGCAAGGAAGTCCAGTTCCTTTGTGATGAGAAAAGATTGTACCAGTGGAAACAGAGGGAGGGGAGGTTTGCTTGGTTAACTGTTCTTCCTGCCCCTGTCCTAGGCATTTTGCAGTGGCCTACCAGAAGTCATGTTGAAAAGAAAGACCAAGTGCTACTGTGCAAACCAACCAGAAAGACTGGAGATCAATGGCACAGGATCAGCAGGAGCAGGGGACTGCATGGAAGGCTGAACACAGGGTGCAGGGCATCTGGCTTGTGTATACAGTGCCAGATGTATACAGTGCTGGACTGAACTCATTTCACTGGTATGTTCACAGACCATAGTAACTATGATCTTGTCCAAACTTACAAGATTTTAAAAAGAACACACTTCAACTAAACTGAAGTAATTATAAAAACAAATGTCTGAGAAGTTCCTGTTGATGCAAGATGTGCCTAGAACTTTGGCTGATATAAAGAAACACGTCCACTAAGGCACCCTGAGGCAATCTGACAGTGCGTTGGAGAAAACTTGGTCGTCAGTACCACATCGTTGTGTGAGTACAGAGAACGGATTTCCTGCAAGGGACCAGCTTCTTTGGGCAAACAGTCAACAAGTTCACTGCACTGCGTGTCGAACCCCAACAAGCGGATCCCGTAGCCATGTGGGGAGGAAATCATTCGGCCATCAGGGCTGAAACAGAGTTCTTTGATATAACCCCGGCCTACGTTGGCTTCTTCTATGCAATGAGTCAGTCGTAGAGAACAACGGGGTGAGACAGGACGCACTGGGGCTCCCTCTTGGAATTCATAGACACAGGTCCACTGCAGAGGAAGAGACAGGAAAAGTTTTATATGAACATCAGTATCCCAGATATTTCTTCACATGAAGAGTGAATGACACAGGAACCGTCTATACACTTTGCCCATCTATTCTTACGTTCTTCAAATATGAATGCATCTAAAATATTTAATTAATATCACATAACATCTGCAAATGTTATGTTTTGTATTCTACTCTACCTTGTGGGACTGAGGAAAAGGTAATCCAAAATCTGCATTTCAGAAACTATTTTGCAGTACAAAATTATAGAATTTATCTTACAATGGTTCACCCTACAACGGTTCAAAGACCAGTCATTTTCAAGTTCGGCAAAAGTCTGTCAGATTTCCAATAATTAGTAGGCAAGAAGCTTGTAGAAAGCATGTTACTTTGTATGCATGAAACCCATTTTAAGTAAATCAGTCAGCAGCCAGGTTCAGGTAAACTAGGGAGGTGTCAAATGGTAAGTATTAAAAAAGAAGCCTTTTTTTCCCCGGAAAGCAATCTAAAAATATCCCATCAGTCTCTGGGCACATGACTCAGGAAGTTTTGGCACAACCCTGCACTAGTATTGAGGTTTCACAAAATTTTTCTTTTCACTTAAAAAGACAAAGAAGGTCACTAGTAAAAGGCACTGAAATGATTTAAAGGTCCCTTTCTGGCCTTAAACCACAAATGAATCTATGAAGTAGCCTGCAAACTAATTACTCTAGAACTCAGCCTCAACCACTGCATACAGTTTCCCAATAAGTAGGTTTGTGACACTGTTTTGTTTACATTTCTAGTTTCAATTCATCTTGGTCCACTGTGATTTTATTTTAGCTTTAGAGCGAGTAAACATTAAAAAAAAAAATGAAAGGATGCAACTTAGACACCAACTGATCAACACTCTTTATAAAGTAATGGAGACCTTCTCCTCCACCCCCCACTGAAAGCACTTGTTCTAAACTTCATTGATTTCAGCCAGATATGTAAAGTATGAACATTTTAACTTAATATAGGCAAAAGCACAGCAAGAGATTTTTATTTTTGTGCAGAACACCATCTGACTCACCAACACAGCATGAAAAGAGTAACTGATTCAATTCCCCAGGGACTTGAGTGATTTCCCAGAGTCCAAAGGGGATAAGATGCTTTTTCTGAGCCAGAGGCATTAGAACAAGCAGGCAACTATCTAATCTTGTTCCTTTATCAAGCAAGAGAGATCAGGAGCCCTACTTCTGCAAACACATTTAATGCACATATCCAGAAATGTGCATTTTGGCAAGCACTAAATTGTTTTAATCCATTAAAGTAGGGATGTCAGACTTGTTTGACCCACCACACTGGATCCGGGCTGCAGGGTTCCTCAAGGGCTGGATCCAGATCTACCTCTAGTGGTGGGGTGAGTGATAACAGAGATCCATGGGGGTTAACATGCCAGTTGCTTGCCTACCACAAAAACACATTTTCAACAGGGCTCCATACCTTAGAATTCACTGACATGCCCCACCCCTGAATTCCCAGCCCCACCAGATGCCCTGCAGGCTCTATATTTTAGGCTCTAAAGTGGGTATGTCATTGATGCTAAAGGAATAGGCCACTCCAGAATAACTGATGCAGTGCAGAGCTCTTAAGCACAGCATGTTTGAATTGTTTTGTTTTTTTTAAATAAGGAGAGCGCGCTCAAATTCTAACCTGCTAACCTCTTACTGGCACACTTAGACTTGTGCATTATTAGATTCAGAAGCTCCTGCCATCAAATATTTAGGACGCCAACAAGTTTTCTGCTAGTGGTAATCAAAACTGTTACAGATGGCTAGCATCACCAAGAGCTATGAATGCGAAGTGGTATCCCATAACTAAAAGCATCACGTGCAGTTCTTAAAGTCCTTAACATCCATACAGTTAGTTTGAACAATACTGCCATGTGAGGAGCTTGGCATTTTTAGGAAACTGTCTGTCACTGCAGGAAGCATGTTTCATCCACACGATGCCACAGTTTTTTTAAACTGTGTTTAAAAAAAGGTCTGGGTCAACTAGTCTGGTCTCCGCTGGCTGAAGTGCATTGATAATATCTGTAAATAGTCAGACCCATTTTTCCCCTTCAAAACATCAAGAGGGATAGCCTAAGTGTTCCTGGGCCACGTCTGTATGGTGCAATGCAGCACTGTGTAGAGATACCCATGTTAAACTCTAAGCAACCTGGTATATATTTATTCAGCCCAGTGCCACAGCGTGCAAGTAAAAGCTAGAACCAGTACAGCTGTATCAGCGTTGTGCTCTTCCCTCCCCAGGCTAGTCAACAGGGAGAAAAAGAGCTTATTAAAGAGAACTCAGGAAAGAGACTAATGCAGTTTATCTGCTTCTGAGACTCATGTGAAATTGGTTTAGGCCTCTCTACACAGCACTACATTGTGCCATAGAAACCACCACAATTTTTAACATACATTCTTGTTCTGTTTGATGCTTCACCATTTGTTCATGGCTTGAGTTATTTCCATGGTCCAGATTTGTCCATCTTTTAGGTAACACAGTTGAAGAGTAAAAGCCCACTGAAGCTCTCAGGATTTCTTCATCATGAGGAGGTCTTTCCTCATCAGGCCCAGCTCGTTTCCCCACCATCCCTTACCACACTCAAATATCAAGTTTCCCAGACCACCTGCAGCATATCCTGACATCCTTTGTATGGTTAGGTAACATGCATTCAGTTTTTCCTTAATGATGGTGAATGAAATACTCAAGACTCCACTGGGGACCATATATCCCCATATTGAGATAAAATATCAACTTTGTAAAAATACAAGAGGCATGGCACAAATATTTAAGGGAATCACTAGGAATAGTTAACTTAACCTAAATCAATCAGAAATAGAAGCACCGTATTTTCACCTGCCAAAAAGGCATTATTTATTATGTAGAATCTATATAACACTAAGTACATCTATTATAAAAGTGTTCTTGTTTTCTTTACCTCATGGTCATCTGTGTTACTTGAGCACCGAAGAAGAGTAGCCCATCCTTTAGGATGGAGCTGCAGTGATGTGATGCAGTTACCACGATCTCTTTCTCCAGGAACTTCTGGTGTTAATACCTCAAGGCTATTTCGTGGAGATCCACCTAGGAAAATATATACCAACTCTGTCACACAGCATCACTATACTATGATTCTTATTACTTCACTCATGGCCAAACTCTGCATTAAAAAAAGCAGTTTAATAAATATTTGGATCTAGCCTTATTGTCAGGTATTTCCAGTGCTTTACAAAAATTAAATCTAACACCCTCATGGAGAAATGTACGCCAGTTCTACAGGTGGGTAGAGATGCAGATTTTGTGAACTGCTAATAGGTATGAGGGAATAACAGAACTGGGGAATCGTTTGCTTTGACAGTCTGTCCTTCATAAAAGCTGTATAAATTAGAGGTGCACCGATACATCAGTCCCATATTAGATCAGCACCAATAAAAGGAAAATTGACGGTATCGGCAATCAGCTTTTTTGGCCGATAACGTGGCCGATAAATGCTCTGTGCATGCATACAGCCTCAACGCAGGCTCTGTAAGCTGCCCAGCTACACATCATCTATCGGATCAGTATCGGCTGACATGGCTCATTAAAAATTGGCCATCAGTATCAGCTCAAAAAAAACCAATGTTGGTGCACCCCTAGTGTAAACCCATCTTGGGCAACACAAATGCATACACAAAGCCAGAGATATCATCCCTACTTACTTCTCACTGTCACTGCAGAAGGTAGTTTCAAAGACTGCTATTCTGCCATAACTTTAAAATTGACTATGTAAGGAGCATTCTACATAAAAAGCTTACTCAGTTTACAAGTGAACTATATTTATTGCCAGTTCTTCAAACTCACCCTGAGAGCTGAACCTCAAGCTGGAATCTTTCCCTCTTATTCATCACCACCAGTAACCAAAGCTTTTACTAGTATATTCTGCCTCCTTTCATTTAGGTAGTTATATAGCCATCATGGCTAAAAACGTCACGATCAGTATCCACAACACTATTCCCATTATGTTGGTGGAAACAGATTCACACAAAGTCCAGCACAGTAAGGAAACTGAGTTATAACCAACTATAGGGCATGGTATTTCCTACTTCAACAGGCAACTTCCCCTGTAAATGGAACTTTATAAACAAGTCAGTTAATACCCAAGGAACAGGATCTAGCCACTCACTCCATGTAGGCTCTGCATGGAGCACTAGTAAACACTTATCTGTCACTGAAGCAAACAGAGATAATGAAACACAAAGCAGCAAGGAGTTCTGTCGAGCAAAAAGGAAATCTGAGTAAAAATGCCATGAAGTTCAAGCTCACTGCAAGTGCTTCCATCCAGTCAGAGTTAAAAAAAAGGCCCAAAAAACCAACCAGTGGGTTTTTCCAGCCCCCTTTTGCATTTGAGGAATAAATGCCCCTACCAGTAGGTATTTACATTTGAGTGGTACAAAATGCTATGCAATACAATTAGATTGCAATTTCCCAGGTATAAAAGTGTTTATATACTACTGTGAAGTGAGTGTTCCCCTTCTGAAATCTGAAAATAAAATCAGCTCCAGACACCACTAGGTGATGATATGCTGATTTGATGTAAATCCTAGTAAGATCCGTTTTTCTTACTAGTCTTATTTAAAATAAGTAGGAAAGTACATAAAACTACTAAAAATGCAACACTGCTTTTTAGGTTTTAAAAGCCACTTAGTTATTCCTTGGTTCACTTACTCATACACATTTTAATCTTAACATACCTTCCCTCTGTGAGGTTCGTGACATGTGTTTTTCAGACAATGGACCCGAATCATTCTGGTGACATGGTGAACCAACAGTTCTCGGACCAGATGAACTGGAAGATGTCATATCTGAAAACAGCAGTACCCATATAAATTAACAGGCTATCCCAGCTTTTGTTTTGTATGCAACTCATTTTATCCCTTCAATAAATAACTTTAATGCTTTACCTGCATATGCATCTTGCTAGGATAGTGTGCTTTTTTTAAGAACTGCCCCCAAACAATGGGGTCTGATACTGAACTGCCATATGCAGGCCACAATGGATTAGTATTAATTCAAACCAAAAAAAAAAAACAAACCCCAAAGTTTAGAGAGTTAATACTGTTCAAGGCCAACTGAATGGGTGTTGACACATAAATGCTTTTAAAAGTCTGGCCCAAAAGCTTTTGGCTTCCATCTTTGACTATACCCTTAAAAAAATAAGCCTAAAAGTTTAACAGGCTCATGACTGCCTCGGTTGCAAGTCAACCGCCAACACTCTACAAACTCAACCTCGGCTCTAAGGGACAAATCGAATACCTTCCTTCTCTTAAAATAAGCATCTTCACTTAAAATAATGCTGGAAGTTAACCCTTCCCTGTTGTGCTACTCCAAACGCAACTGAAATAGGGTTTGACCTGCAGCATTTTTATAATAGATGGAGATGAATCAGAAAACAAGAATTCAATTTGGCTTACAGATTTCAGGACAACTGCATGCAAGTGGTTGTTAGAAATCAGTTTCTTTGTTCACTAATAACTACAGCAAATTAGTAATATGGCAACAAAAAGGAAAATCTGTTATGCCATTTTTAAAAGTCACATTTCAGAGTAGCCCCAAATATTAAATTCCACTGTCTGGTTGAGTAAGAAGCTCGTGGCAGTTCTGCTAAGATAAAAGGAACCAAACAAAGAAAGGACATGCACACAGTTTTTTCTTTTTCTTCACTTTTTGGTTGTTATTGTAATATTGCAAAACACAAGCCACAGAACTTTTTGCTGCAAAGTCATATGGTCCCAGCCACGAAGTCCGGGTTGTAAGCATATTGTGCCAAGCAGTGCTGCCCATACACACATAGGCTGCGTAGCTCTGTGTACACTAAACCCATCGGGAAGCAGTACAGCTACACTTGCATACCAGTAAGGGCAGACACCTGGTCTCCGCTTCTCAACAGTGCTAACCAGTCTGCTCTTAGCAACACGAACTCTAGCCAGGACTTAAGTGTCCTGCACTACCTGGCATTTTACAGTGACAGGAAATGTATCTTTACCACACAGACAAAATGACTTCGTGTCATGCTCTGATGTGAAAGCATTTCATTCCATCTGTCAAGCATTGGAAAAAGGCCACCAAGGGAAGTTGTGAGATTTCCATTTCTGGATATTTTCACGAGCAGGTTGAACAGACACTTGAATGGGATAATTTAGTCAGGAATCATCCTGCTTTTAGCAGGGAGCAGAACTTCCAGTCCTACTTTTCTATGATAAAAAATACTGTAAATATTTAATAACATTCAGAATTGTGGGTCTCATTAGGTATCAAGCCACAGAACCAAAGTGCCCTTGAACAACTCATCATATAAATGTTCCTAGCCACTCCTCCCTGCTTCCTACTGGTCAAGGGAATAGTCTAAAATAATACATCTATCAAGAGATGTATGATACAAGACATCAGTGACAATTTACCTGAACTTGATGTAGTTCTTCTGGCTCTTAAAATTGGATAGCTGCCAACCTCTAAAGACTTGTTTAAATCAAGGTCATGCAAAATCAGGAGATATCCAGAGGAGGTCGAGATCAACATTTTTGAACAGTCTGGTGTCAATCTCATCCGCATGAGAAACCGGGTGTGAAAAAACTTCTTGTGAGGACATCCATCTTCTGTGCACCTGGACAATGAAGGAGGAAAGATGGTTAGGGCTGAAAAATAGGAGCCTGAGGTCAGCATCTGAAATCTGTAAGTTAAAGTGGGTTCCCAGGAACTAATTCACTTGTTATTTTTGTGCATCAGTTAAGATGGACTTTAAATAGAGACTGGAAATCTGCACTTGCATTTCAAGTTAATTCTGCCAATTTTCAGCTTTTAAGAATTACTTTTTTGGAGTCTCAAGCTCACTCAAGATAGTTTCCTTTTAGTTCCTTCGTTTTCACTGTACTACGGCAGTTCAAATTTGTGACAGTCATTGTGAATGATCACAATGATTGTATTAAAGAACTTACTAAGCTTTCATTCCAAACAGTGTGTCTTCATCCTGCTATTCACATTTAGGAGAGTCCTGTCCTCTCTCAGTTCATGCATTAATGGATATACACCACCCGTATACCTGTTGGTGTCCCAAATGATCACGTTTCCATCAAACCCAGATGTCACCAGTAGTCTGGTATTGGTGTCATACTCAATGTTCTTCACCCAGCTGGTGTGACCATGTAAAGTGCACACTTTTGTGTTTAGTTTTCTCAGATCCCAAAGTGCTATTGTAGTGTCATCAGAACAAGTTGCAAACAGTCGATTATCTAGAAACCTGTAAAATGGACAGAAAACTAAGTATCAAAGTGAACTCAGATCCATGGTACAGCCAAGGCACTATTACCTCATACTTAGCTATTCCTGAACTGGTATTTGTGGGTTTTAATTTTTTGAGACAAACCATTACAAATGAAAGATAGTTTACAGTAATAGATAGGATCCCCCAATAAAAATTTTACATTTTTGCCTCAAAGAGTAGCAAGGATATTTGTTTACCTCCCTATCTCCTTTCAAGGTATAAACTGAGGAGAGTATGCAACCAGATCTACAAAACAAAAGGAAAACATGGAATGACAATTTTTATTTTAGCACCAACCACAAAGTTTGTATAACTGCTATAAGGACATCCCTGAATCAGATGATCTTTTGCTGGAGAGCACCAGTGATCCAGGTTTTCTGTTTCTCATGGAAAAAAGAGAAAACCACGGATTTCCTGCCTTTATCAGAGAAAAAAAAAAAAAACGGGTTTTCCCTTTTAGCAGAGATACCCGTGGATGCCCCGCTCTTGCAAAGAGCTCTGCAGGCGGCAGGGGTCCAGCCTGCGAGAGCTCCTTGCAAAAAGGGTGGGAAACCCCCAACCCTGCCCAGAGTGGGAGGGAGAGGGGGAAAAGGGCAGGGCCTGAGGCTCTCAGTCACCCAAGGCTTGACTCAGGCTCACTTTCCTTCCTGGAGCCTAAGGTGAGCAGAGTTTGCTGGGGGGTTGCAGGTCATGGCTGGGGGCACAGGCAGGGCTGGGAGGGCCATGGGCGGCAGGCCTGGGTGACTCCCAGGGCTGGAGAGAGAGCCATCAGAGCAGGTGGGGGGCAGGACATACATGTGAGGCTAGGGGCTGAGGAGCAGGGAGGTGTTGGGGGAAGCCCCACAAGGAGTACCAGGAGCAGCGCACTGTTGGCCCTTCAGGGAAGCTGAACAGGTAAGTGTGGAGCCTGCTCAGGCCGACAGCGTGCTGCTCCCAGTCCATGTGCCATGGCTGGACAGGCACTCCATATGGGGCTTTCCCCAACTCCTCCCCGCTCCCTCAGCCCCCAGCCAGCTTCCCGCAGGAGTGCCTGCCTGCCTGGCAGCATGCTATTGGCCTCTCAGAGAAGTTGCATACAGAAGTGGGGAGCTTGCTTGGGCTGATAGCGCATAGCTCCTGGTCTGTGCACTGTGGGGCAGTCCAGATCAACTTCATGCCTTCATGGGCGGCTTCCTGCAGGAGTGCGGGAAGCCACACAAAGAGGCACAGAGTCCACTCAGACAACAGCACGCAGCTCCCAGTACACACACTTCGGGGTAGGGAGGACAGACCTGTGCGCACCCAATCTGTACGGGGGGGCCAGGGTGGGTGTGCACTGCAGGCCGTGGTCCCCACCCTGCTGCCCTCACCCAGGGCCTCCCCAGCGCAGCATGTGCAACCCGGAACAGCAGGGCACAGTAGGAAAGCTACTTGCCACTGCAAACTCTACACTGCCCTGGCCACACTTCCCCTTTGTGCACAGGGGGTGGCGCAGGGTTGCACCTGTTGCTGCTGCCCCCGCTTGCAGGGGAAGTGTCACCAGGGCATCAGAGTTCACACAGGCATGCAGCTTTCCTGCACAGTCCCACTGTGCCCTGCCACACTGGGTAACACACGCTGCGCTGCAGAGGCCTTGGGGGAGGGCAACAGGGCAAGAAGCCCTACCCCTGTCCCCCACACAAATCTGGGGGTGGGGGACACAGGTCCCCCTACCCTCAGGGGTGCATGCTGCAGCCTTCCCCCACGGAGTCCGCAGCAGGCAGGCAGCAGTGGGGGCACTGGCTGTGCTCCTTCTGCTGCAGCAGCCGCTGCCTTCTGTTGAGGGCAGAGGGCTGTGGACCTGGGTCCCTGACCCTATAGCCCTGGCAGCTTGCGTGCGGGGGGGCGGGGGGGGGGGGGGGGA